TTACTTGCCAGGTGGGCTGCGAAGGGTCTCAGTGCTATCGAAGGAGCAGAGCCAAGCCCGCTAACTCTCAGACACGTGGAGGCTTTGCCGTTTGTCCGACACTGGGGCTCGTCAGTCAGTCAGTCGTGTGGCGAGAGGTGGTTTTGCTTCTCCCTACCCAGTGCAACAGGTCCGGGTACCTGAGCTCCTGCAGCCCTGTCTTCCCCCGGCTGCGTGTCAAGCGCACTCTGTCCTGGGCTCCCGCTGCAGCCAAGGGCCTTGGATAAACCCCTCTTTTTGGGTTGTTTTTTTTAATAACCGTCACGTTAATTAAACTTGTGGAAATGGCATAACAAATGCAGCTTGTGTTCAATGAAATGTTATAAAGTTTCAAATACCTCTTTTAAGTGCTCTGTCGATAAGCCCATTTTATAAAAGATCAATAGGCTCCATTTGGAGCTTGATTTAACACAGCCTTTATCTTAACAGCCCTCTCCTCTGTTGCTGGCAGTAATGTTATATGGGGGAGATTAATGACAGGGTGAAGGATCCTTGTCAGTTTCCACACATTTTTCATGATGGATTGTCATTATATTAATGACCCTGCTGTTGAACGAATGTAAATTCATCTTTGTTGCAATTACAAATATGTATTTGTTTCTTCACCATCATTTATGGTCTATTTAAAGCCTGCAAATCAATGGGTATTGACGTAAGAATATAATTTACTCCTGGTCAAAAAATGTTAAGGCACTCATTTTTATTTCCCTTCCAGAGATTTGTAAATGAAAAGCTACTCTCTTGTCAAGGACTGTCATTGATCATAATTTCTGTCATAAAAAACAAAACCAAGTTTAATTTGTCAGAGATGTGCATCTTGAAACATTTCAGAAATAAAAGCAATACTGTAGGACTTACTATATGAGTAAGGAGCTGTTACAGCATGGATAGGCTGCAAAAGAACAGGTGCAGTGGCTCTGTGGCTCAGGATCTGCACCTGTGGCTGGAAGGTTGCGGGTTTGAATCTCACGGCTGGCAGAGGAATCCTACTCCATTGGGCCCCTGAGCAAGGCCCTTCACCCCAGCTGCTTCAGGGGCGCCGTATAAATGGCTGACCCTGCACTCTGACCCCAAGCTTCTCTCTCCCTTACTTTATGTTTCATGGAGAGCAAGCTGGGGTGTGCGAAAAAGACAAATTGCTAATAAAAATTGTATACTGTATGGCCAATAAAGTGATCTCTTATCTTAAAGGTTCATTGTCTACTGAAAAGTTAGTGACACAACACTTTGCCTGTGGATCCTTCTTCAGGTGTGAGGGGGAGAGAGAGAGAAGCACGTAAATAAGGCATGGAAGAAAAAAAGACTGAGTGAGACAAGAAGGTGTAGAAAAGCGGTGAGGAAATGGTTGAAAGTGGGCGAGAATGAAGAGCGAAGATTTTTTCCCACCCAGTTGGGTTCAGTGAAGTCCTTTTCTGAAGATGAACAAGAAAAGTTGTATTCCATGCTGAAAAGAGAAGAAAAGAAAGAAAAACACAACCTTTTGGCTTTGGAGCCTTCTTCGGGTGTTTTTCTTTCTTTTCTTCTCTTTTCAGCATGGAATAAAACTTTTCTTGTTCCTTTGCAGCCTACGCGTGCTGACGCAGCCGCCCGCCTGAACCTTTCCTGAAGATGATGGGTATTAGTTTGTCTGGAGAGGTCCGAAAGCTTGCGGCCGCTAGATGTGAAGTGGTTTGGAGAGATCTTTGATCCGCACAGCTCTGACATATTCTCTGAAACAGTTTGCCAGTCTGATTCCCGTCTCACCAATAGAAATGACAGGGCATTTTCTGCATTAGATGCAGTAAATGAGATTTCTGGAAATGCATGATGTCGTCTAGGTGACTCAGAACTGTCCAGAGGGGCCATGAATGTGGATTGAATTGAATGTGTATTCTGAAAGTGTCTGGTGTAGATGGTTGCTGTGGGCGGTGAAGGCAGCTGTGGACAAGGTTTTGCAGATAAGGTGGTCAGCAGTACAAAATGGTGAGGCAGGCAGTCAGGTTATGAGTAACTCTCAATATCCTTTCAATACGTTTCCCACAGAAGAATTGTAATACCAAAATTGGCTCTTTGGGTATTTCTAGTTGGGGGAAAAGCATATTGTCAAATGTCTGCCAACTGTGAAACACATGGAAATCTACTATACCATAACATTTTAATAAGGCTTACCAGTATTAATACAAAAGAGTAGTCAGCAGTTATTTTACTCATTTGTGAGAGTTGTTTGGGTGTTTATGATGAGCTGATTTAACCTGTTGAGTTTCCAGCCTGGTGAAATTCAAGAAAAACACAGAAAGGAACCAACGTGTTCAATATGTGAAGTGAATAGCACCTTCTTGCCATTTTGGAGGCTGGAGTATGTCACATTAGTAGAGTCCCAAGCAACACAAGAACTCCACTTTGTTGTGAATAATGGTATCTTTACTGTATCCCACTAACAAAAGTCATGGGACCTCTCCTTCCTGCAGGCTCATCTTGTCATGGCAATATTCCAGCAAGGCAGACCACTTCCTGATGCTGCTCAGGTCTCTGTGGGACCCAGGCTTGAGCTCCATAGAACATTTGTGGGATGCATGTGGTTGATGTGGAACCGTCCACAGATATGGGACCAGAGGACAATGAGATCTCTTGAGACTGCATCTACCACCTGGTGGAAAGGGTGCGATGCTACTAGCTTGTGATGTCTGCTGTGAAAACCTTGGTGATGACAATTGTTCGTCTGAAATAATGAATATATTCTTGTCATTTTGTTTTTTAAAATGCATCTGCTACGAAAAATTCATTTTTTTAAGATAGTAACTTTGTAAACTTGTTGCAATTATAATTTTCTTTGGAAGCCAAGTGTACATATACTGTACATCTTCCACAAAGATGAAGACCGTTTTTGCCTTTGTCGCCTCTTATCTGGATTCCTGTGGAGTCTGGAAAGATTATACTGTTCAGATGTCTTCGAAAGAAGAAAAATGTTTTTATAGCACATAATAATCCGTATTACCTAACTTTTAATTTATCAGTGGCTTGGATTTCAGCTCTGAGATTCAGACTTGGATTGCAAAGCGACTTGTTTCAGCTGTCTTAGTGTGTATATGGGTAGTGTTTTCAGTTATTAAGCTACTCACTAGTTCAATAATAAACCCTTCTTTTGTACCACCCCCCAGTTTTTCCTTTCATCCTGGACACATTTATGAATTGCTTTTTTGTGAAAGGTATGTTATCTGCAGCAACTACTGCATGACAGGCATGCCCAGCAGCATTAAAAGACTGTCCTGTTTCAGGGACTACAATAAACGTTTGTCCTTTAAAAATTCCGGAATTGGGGCAAATGTACTGTAGTTTTGATTAAGAAACCTCAATGAAAGACTTCACAGAGTTCAGTATTTTTGTAGACATTTTTTTTAATGGAATAATTGAGCTCTTTTTGTTTTTGTTTTTGAATGCAAGGTCTTTGAGTTTTAAGATATGGCTCTAGTGGCTAGTGTGAATGTTCTCTCTATTGGTCTCTGTACACTGAAGTGAATCAAAGGGTTATTGCAGGCATTTGAACACATGTTTACGCCACATATTAAAGGTGAATTCTTGTCCAGGTATCTTTAAGTCACAGAGGAAATAAACTGGCTTGATTACTGCAAGTCTTGGAAACTTTTCAATGAATTTTGTTTCCAGAAAATGCATGATTATTCGGTGAACTTTTTAAATTATGCAATACTGGCTTTTCAGTCAGTAGCCAGAGTTTTCTGTGATTTAATGATAAAAAGTTACTAAGTGGCTTGACGCGTGTTGCTATTCATTAAGTTGCTCAAGAAGGCGGCTTTTGAAATGTTTGATAAGAGTGTCTTGCAGTTTTCTTGTGAATTCAGCATTCTGCCATTTGAAGTTAGGAACCTGCTCGTCTGCCATTTTTGAATGAACCTTTTCTTTTGGTCGTGTTGTTGCTGGAATATGAGCGTTTCCTGATGTAAAGATGACAGATGATGATAAAATTGTCTGAACAGGAAACCACAAACGAGGCTCCAGAATGTGCCTCCACCACTGCTCTTCCAGTCCGTCTTCTGTCACATGCCCAGCAAAAGTCGTCAGCTTCGTTCTTGATCTTGTAGAAGAATCATTTCATCAGCATTGTTCCAAAACCCTCTTTAAACCTGCTTTTGCCTCCCTGCTTTGAAGTTGTATGGATCCTGCGATTTTTCCAATGCAGTGTGCATTGGTTTTTAATTCTCCATCTGCCCCTGCACCTGTTATATAGGATGTCTTGACATGTTCCCACCTCTGTTAGGAAACCAAAGAGGCTTTGTGTCAGTTTCCTGTGTTTTGTCTTTATTGCATTGGTTTTGGAGGCTACCTAGTTCGTATTGGTGCACCAGTAGGTTTGAAGAATCCTTTAATTACTATGGTGGTATGTATCACCTCTTAGTCATGAGGCTACAGTCACATAGGAATAATATCAGACAGTCTATTGCTGTTCAGTCTAGCTGCCATTAGATACTTCATACTTGTCTGGCACTTTGGAGTGTGCCACTACAGCAAGGAAATTGTGGACTGGGTGAAATTAGGCTGCTCTCATATACTGCTTTTCACTGTGACAACAGGAAGAGGGAATCGGAAGAGGGAATCTGGATTTTCAGCTTGACTAAATTACTTGAGTTAAGCAAGCAAAGCACAAAACTTTCCTCTTGTTTTTCATTTGTGCACACTCACTTTGAAATATGCGACCTGCCAAATATTTTGCTTGTTGTCTTGTAAGTTACATTACAATATAATTACTAAAAACTGAGTTTTTGTGGTGTGTTAATACATAGAAGAACAATGTAATTTTTGCTCATGCGTTTATTTTCCTGCAGTGAAACCATCTAGCTGATAGACTGTTCAGATGATGGCTCAGCATGTCTTCAGACATTTGTAATCCCCTGTCTGGCAGTCCTTGTGTGGGAAGATGCATGCAAGATCTCTCTTGATTTATATATAAATATTTTTTCCTGTTTCAGGTCTTGAGTGCAAACCAGAGTAAGGTGAACAGCAAGATGAATTAGTGGTCAAGAACTGCCCATCACACTTGGCACACCAGACACAATGCGTGTGCAGTCAGAAACCTTCTGTTAAAAGGACTGAGGTAAGGGATGGTTTGTTTAAGTTGTGTTTTCCAGCCTATTATAATGCATACCATGGGAATACATGCTTCTGACATGTATGGTTAGTAAACCAGTCAAGATCACCTGTGATACTGAAATAGGAGGGTTTTGAAACTGTAGAATAAGCAAAGAGAATCTGAAACTTAGATTATTTAGACAAAATTCCAGATTCATCAGACACCTGATAGGTGACATTTAACGTACATTTCACAATGAAGTGGAAAGCATTACATGCAGATAGCATAAACATGATCTATAAATGTGGGATGGAAAACTCTGAGCTGAGAAAAAACAAGAAGAAACAAGAATCTGTGAAAAAGACTCAAGTGTCTCTGTTTACACATTTTCATTTTCCTGACAGCATGAGGAAGCTATAATAAAGCAAACAGACTGGTGAAATGTGTTTAAATAGAGCTTGTCCGATTTCAATAAAGGGCTGTTATGTTAAATGTTCTTTTCTGGTAAGGCCTCGTTTAGAATATCGTGTTAAATTGTGGTCAGTATTGCTGTTTTGGGCTCCCAGTCCATTCGGAGAAGAGCAACCGGATACTGTACCTTCTGCACTGGGGGAATGTCCTCCACAAACGGGCTGAAGAGGAGGCAAAAGTGAGAAAGAGGAGGCCCTTTTAGAACATGCTGTACCTCTTCTCATTTCTAATCTTTGTTCTGAAGGCAAGCCTTTATAACCCCTCCATATACATATATGCTTGCTATTTCTGTAATTTGTATGCACTTACTTTGGACTATGCAACAATCTTCACATCTCTCTGTAATAAGCAAGACTTTGTGCTTCCCACACATTCCTTGGGGTCTCTTAGTAATTGAGTTTAAAAGTGCATCACTTTGTGCATGAATGGAGTGTGCTAAAGAGATTTCATATTCAAAGTTTTCAGATAACCATTCTTTTTATTGTATGTTTCGACTGTCTTAACTCGTTATTGTTTTTCTTTTTTGTTTGCAAAATTCTAAATCTCATTCACCCATGGTGATGCAATGTGGCCTGCATTGTTTGTAATGTTTATTGACGTGTAATCTTTGTAAGATGAGTGAAAAGTGTTTTCCCTTTTCCTTGGTTGTTTTTAAAGGCATTTAATCCTCCGGTAGGATTTTAATATTGTATGCTTGCTAAAGGTCTTTCATAATAACGCGTTTAATCCCCCCCAGACCAACAATGAATTGGATGAGAGAATTAACTCAAAAGCAATTTCCTCTTTTCTCTTGGAGTACAGCTCTGATATGAATTTGATCATTTTTTGGGTTACAGCACCTTGAAAAGCTCAATTCTTTTATCATTTTTCCCCATGCGTAGAAACATTCCTTGTCCTCTGCGTTAAATTTGTCCCACAGAATACTAGTGTTTGCACTGAAACGCCGCATACTTTTCTTTCGTTTCAACTGAGTTTTGTATTTTCTGCAATTTGAGTGGAAAAACGCAATCAAAGGGGAACACAGTAATTGGCTTTGCTTCGTCGTTGAGCTCGCTGGCTTAACCACAGTCACTGCCGTATGCTTGCCTCTGCGCATCTTGAAGAAGCTGATCTTGACGTCCTTTGCTTAAAGAGAGTGTAAATGTCCCTTCCTGTTGAATGAAGGATGTCGCTCACTGAACCCTGGTAACGCTGATTTGTGATTTGAGTGCACTCTTTGATTGAAGTGCAGCCGACAGTCCGGAGTCCAGAGGTTGGAGGGTAGGTGCATCGGTGTCGGAGCCTGTGATGGGACGAGGCTGGGGTAACGGGGGTGAATTATGGAAGAGCTGATGGAAAGAAAGCTGCCTGCAATTTGTGCTCAAAATATCCATGGAAAATTAAGAGGCAGGAGAGATGTATGCATGATTAGTTTTTTAGAATATTTTCTCTTAACCTGCTGTAGAGCTCTTTGAATCTCGGGAGTTTCTGAAGTTCTTCTAAAATGTTTGATGCTACCAAGTTAGACTACAATTAAATCTTATCGTAAATGCAGGACGAGATCTGCTGCCACCGTTTTTCCAGTGTTTAAGATGTCATCGAGGCGATACACCAACATGCATTTTTCTAATTTTTCTGTTGGTCACAAAAACGTGAAATTTTAAATCATGAGTGACAGTTGCCATGATTTACGGTAAATATGATCAGCAATTGCACATGTATTGAAGTGAATTATTGTGCTACAGCCTTGCAAAGTCTGTAGAAGCCAATATAAAATGCTTCAAAAGGTTTTTGAGTCTCATTATTCTCTGTTTTTTACACAGTAGATATCTTGTAGTAATAAGGTAAGATGTACCACCTGTTGTGCTGAAACATACAGCCTATCATCTGTAGTTTATCATGTTATGCTAAGAATGTCATTTTAGTGGTGGGAATCTATTCAAAAGACTGTCAAATACATTTTGTGCTGTTTTTAATGCGCATATCCTATTTTGTTGCACAGATTAGAATTAAAGTTGCAAATTGCTATATAAACAAAAAAGTTATTTCCATTACTGTGTAAGAAGAGACTTTGGCAGCTATGAAAGGAATTTCTAAATCTCATTACAGTACAGTCAGAACAGCTCTCAGCTTGTGGCAGACAGCTATTGCCACCTGGTTAGTACCTGTCTCTGACAGTCTGTGCTGATGCACAATATGGTTCTGCCTACAGCACACATAAACTGTGACAACGTTTACATTGACAGTCTTTTTAATATTCATGTCTGTATTTCCAGTCTTAGTCACTCCTTTGAGGCTTTAAAGTTTTGCAGATGTTCTGATGTGTTTTTTTGCAGCAATTATGGATAATGTTCATGCTGCCCTAATAGACAGATTTTAATAAAACATTTCTGACTGCTGATCTGTGTCAGAATCAATTCAACACTAAATTAATGGTTTTAAAAGTTGCCGTGTCTGAGTCATACAAGGCTTTCAATATGCTTATTGCGTAGTGTGACCCAGTTGCGCATACACCCTCAGTAAAGATGAAATAGAATGCCCCTTGCAAACCAGAGTTGATTTAATGAATTATGTTCTTGCAATTGGGACCCAGGATTCCACTCTCTAGAACTATAAGCTTCACTGAAATGCAGAAAACCAGATGTGGAGGAAAAGGAATTATTTTCTCTTCAGGGAGTCCTCAGATTTCTTTAAGCGTGCTGTTATGGATTCACTTCCTCCTAAATTTTTCAGAGCTCTTAGCAGACTATCAGATCTTGCCTGATGTGAGCTCCAGAGTTCCTGAGCTGTTTCTGTAGCTCAGGCAGATATACCCATTAATGATTAACTAGCCACCGGAGTGCTGCAGTGTCAGTGAAGGTGGGTATTGAGCTCCATTCAGCACACCCCACCCCCCTAAACAAGAGAGAGCCCAGGGGAGTCAGTAAGTGGAGCAAACGAGTCCAGGCTGTCCTAACGGAGGAGACTGACGACAAGAGGCACGAGCAGGACTCGCTATGGAGTAAAAAAAAAATACCCTCAAGGCATGAAGTAGAATAAAGTCAATCATCCATCTTTGTTTTGCCCTGAAAAGACAGACTCCATAAGCTTCGCTCGGGTTGCCCTAAATAAAAAAAACTGCTCCATTTTTCCCCATGCAGGATAAATATTTCAAAAGCGGTAAACAGCTTGGATGCATTGAGCAGCGTTGCCATGCAGTTTCATTTCTGTTTGGAATCATTGCTTTACTCTGAAAAAAGCTTTCAGCGTGGCGCAAACAGTGCAATCTGTCCCCACTGCTTGCCTGCTCTAAAACTTCCAGCTGCGTCTGTACAAATGGAGCTCACTAAACGAAGGCTTCGTGCACAGATTAAATGCAGTTGTTAGTTCACCCTTTGATCTTAACATGAGTTATATGTGAACGGTTCAGTTGAAAAGGCCAGCAGGAACCACCGTGGTTAAGCCCTTGGGACTGAGGTAACAAATTACTGCTCATTCGGTTGTTTGAAGCGAGCTGATCTGGGGATCTCATCCAGCTGTTCCCCAGAGAAACTGGGGTATCTGCTTCAACATGGTAGAGTGTGCTTCAGCTGGGTTGCAGAAGTATGAAACCGTTTAAGTGTGAGTAAAGGTGTAAATGGTACTCTTCTCCAGAAGAACAGTAGTTTATTTTTTTGTATGGTGGCCAGCATTGTACATTATTGCTGTCTGGCATACAGTGGCAGTCACACCTCTTTTACCCTCCTTTAGACTGAATACTGTTGCTAGGAAGACTTTTTGCTTGTTGTTCACTTTATGGAAACATTTGTGAAAATGGGGGGGCATGAAGGGTTCTAATTTCTCCTTTGTTTGGGTATTTAGCATTTTTGTGTTAAATAAACGAGCACAGACAACTGGCTTCAGTGAACAGCCTCTCAAGACAAGGTAAAACATGAATTCAGTTGAAGCATTACTTTTAGCTACCTTAATATCAGGTCTGTCTTATTTTATTGCTTTCCTGCGTTGTCTAGCAGAAAAAAAAATCAACATAAATGCCCAGACCTTTCGGGCTTTAGTAACAGAAGTGCCTGTGTATAACAGCCGCAGTCAGAGCAGTTTGTAAATATGGTTGAGCTGAACGGTGCCTGTATGAAGCCCAAGCCTGTCATATTTTTTAGGTTGTTCACTTTTGATAAAATCTATAAATGTTTTTTTTTTTTCCGGAAAACTTTTAGCGTTAGGTTGGTGGGTGTGGTTGAGACTGAGGTAAAATAGGTGCGAGGCAGATGCAGGTCGGAGAGTTAAGCAATACCAGGTGCTGAGAAAACAGAAACGTCTTTTTGCCACGGAGCAGACTAGGGAGAGATTTCCTGGGATGCTTGTGCTTCCCCATGTCCTTCTCAAAACCCTGGAGAGAGGAAAGCAGCAGGACTGGACATGCTGTTCCTGGTGAGAAGCAAGTCACGCCGCACTGGGAGTGGGAAATGAGATAATGAATTAGCATTAAAATAATGTGTGTGTGTGTATCACTGCATTACTGTTTGTAATGGCCTGAAGCTCTGTTACTTGTAGGTTCTGGTTGTGGTGAAGACCAGCAATGGGAGCTGTGCCCTGCA